GGTGCTGGGGGGCAGCCGTACCCCCAGCTGCCGGCCGCGGCTGGTTCTCCCCCTCTTGTAGCGAACAAGCCCTCCTCAGCCTTGTGAAAGCCGGCTGCGAAGATGCTGCGCTCGTCCCTGGGAGCCGGTGCGGAGTAGAGAGTGTTGCTCTAGAGTTCCGTTGGAGATGGAGACCTGCCCGGTTGTGCTTTTTTGGGGGTTTTGTCTTGAGCTTTGTAAGCTGTGACGTGGGGAAAAACAAGTCTAGAGGAGACTAGTTTGTGGTAGCATATGCCTGAGAATCTAGCATATCTAATAATGGTGAAACTTTTCAAAGAATTAAAAAGCTGGTTAAAAAACTTGGGTTTGAAAGTGACTCCGCATGTAAGGTTTAATCAATGTACAACTTCACCACCTGACTGGTAGCAAGCAAGTTTTGAGGCAGAAAGCCTCATTAAAAGTTTTCTCCATCTCAGGAACTATATATATGGAATTTCAGCACCACTAAACCAATATTTTTGTCTGAAATTATCACTTATGAAAAGAATGACGGTATTCTTACTCACAATCACGTGTGCTTTATCTAAAGAGTATTCGGATAAAAAATATTAGAGGAAATACCACAAGGATATATGGCAGGACACACTCTTTAATGTATGTTCTTTGCAAGTTACGCTAGCTGTGTAGCTCAGTTTATGCAGCATCAACACCAACCCCTTTAGAGCTAAAGAAGAGTTTAAACGCAAATGTAGTTGCTGTAAGTACTTTAACAAATTTTTAGGTTGCCTAGGTGTCAGCTTAATGCTCACTTAGTAACTCTGATGTATTAATAGATTAATACCTCTTTAAACATAGTGGCCTGAAGCATTCACATGGGAAGCAGGTGGGAGAAGCATCCCATAAAGCATGAAAGCTTTTTTTAGCATGATGTGACCACAGTGTCCAGGGCCTGGAAACTGAAGCTAACTAAATGCAGGCTATGAAGCAGCCTAAATTCTAAGCAACAGTCCAGAAGGTGTAGGAGCCGTGCAGCACAAGATGTCCTGGTATTGCTGCTGCTTGGGGTTTTTTTTTTTTGTTTGAAGATCAGATGACTTTTCAGAAAATATTTTGCAGCTCTGCCATAGGGTGAGAGCTTCTCTTAGAGCTGGATGACATTCATTGGCCTAATCAGAGACTAGACGAGATGAAGCTTCCTTCTGGCACACAGAAGTGCAACTGAAATGATTAGCTTTACACTATGAACAAGAATTAAGTACTGCAGCAAATCTTAGTCTGCAGTTTAAACAAGCAAATCTCAGTATGGTTTCTTGTGTGGAGTCGTTTGTGACCAGAACTACATTTAAAGATGACCTTCTCATGAAGGTTCTGATTTTTGTGCCTATAGTTATGTTAAAATGATTTAAGTGACTGTTCTAAGTGTTTGTCAAATTATGTGCTTCAGTTGCATATAATTTGGTTCAGACTACCTTTTCCTTTCCTCAACTTCACAAATGTTTTCACTGTCTTCTCTCTTAAGAATATAGAAATTATATGCTGGAATGTATGTGCTTGGGTTTTTATTCAACAGTTTTTAATGCTTACTTTTTTACTACAATTTGATTAAATAAAAAAAGTGGATACTTCAGCTGAAGTACTCCCATTAAAAAGAATTTTTTTGTAACTTGTAACAAAGCATAGGTGGTAAATGGGAAGTCTCTCTGCCACTTGTAACTGTCATTTTATGGATAATGTATGCTTAGAAATTGTTCCACTTTTATCTGTTCATAAAGTATGTAAGTCTCTATGGGCAGAGTCTATCTTTACAAAGGACTTGGACAAATGAGCACCCAGGTATGACAGGATGTGTCTCGAATGAAAAGCAGTCCTTGTGCACACAACATAGTCTATTTTAATTCTAATTTGGTAGCTGAATTTGCAAATGAAAAAATGTTTATACACTCTGTATTCGTCCATCCCACTTCCCAGAATTAGGGAACCAATTTAAAAGCTGAACTTCAGATAGAGGTTTTGAGAAGAACAGCATGTGCATAAATTGAGTTCAAAACTGACAGCGGGGAGAGAAAAGAAAGCAGATTTAGCACTGCTGCTGAAAGTAAGGCTGCTGCATGAACTCGGCAGGTTTGTGTGCTCTTTGGCTTCCAGTACAGTCAGTCAACACACGTATGTTGAACTCACCATGGCACCTGGGGCACATAGGAAAACATTGAGGGGGTGTAGTTCTAGCAACGCAGGGAAGGGTGGAACTGGGGCTGCTGGCCCCTGGTGGCATGTTAGAAGTGAGAGCCTTGGGGAAGAAGTATTGCTGAAAGGCCTAGATGAGCCTGGGAGGAACCTGGTCACAGTATGACCAGAGGGACTTGGGTGCAAAGCCGTAGGAAATCAGGCTTCATTAGTTCTGCTCATGCAGGAAAAACTGCTTTGAGAATGCAAAGCTTATGTGCTTCAAAAGGCTGCTGCCTCATTCAGTAGCTGAACAGGCATTTGCAGGTCTATCGAAATACAGCTGGTAAGAAAGCCAGGTTAATTTAGAAAAAACTTGGTTATAGTGTCTACTCTGGAAAGGAAATTGTTTTAAGTTGCTTAAGATGGCAGGAGTTTTAATTAAATTTTGGGCTAGTTTTCATAGCCTTGTTAATTTTACTGTCCTAAAATCAGAATGTTCTCATACAAATCTTCATCTGCGAGATGTTTAAAATCAAATTTACCTCTGATGCATGTTTTAAGGTGCCACTTCTCAGCAACTCGCTCAGACTTAAGTGTTTGCAGGTGGTGCTAGTTTGAGTTAGGTTAATGTGAGGTAGTGTGACCTCAGCAGAGGATGAGACACCAATTGCTTAACTCTTCTTCCCCTAACCATCTGTGCTTAAGCCCTAATTGTACTGTAAAATGGGGAACAATATATTTTGTGTTACTGGACTCTTTAAATAAGCTCTAGGTATAATTGTATTTAGTTGCTTTGCTCTTTTTCCTCAACAGAAAACTCCTAATTGCACACAAAATATTACTAGACTGTTAGTTAATTCTTCAGCTCATTGAGGGAGTATTGCGCTCTTATCTGCTGTAAAACAAGCTATGTACATATTGGAAATATATCAATTGTGTGCAGAAAATAATACTGATGCTAGAGCTGGGTTGGAGGAAGGCATAAGTGAGCGGCCTTGCTTTGTTCTCACTGGAAGGTAACAGTCACCTTAAGTGATTGCTCTAAAATAAGCAATCTTCTGCTAGCGAAAAGGTATGCAACGCATACAGGTACTGTATGTCAAGTGCAATTCAGTTGGTGCTCCTCATTCCCAGTTTTTCATTAAAGCAGACAAGCTCATTCTCTGCCCAGAGCTAAGAATAACAAGTATTTTAATCATCTGAGGAGAATGAACAGAATAATTTGTTTCTAACTAGTGACCTGACTGTACTTTCAGGTACAGATAACCCATGTCTTGAATTTTTATTTTTTTCCCCCTACAAACTCTAGCATGACCTTGCTTATTTCTCAGGTAGCTTTCAGTGATGTGCATCTTGGGAGTACATGACACTTGTACAATTTTGTGCATTGGTAAGAATATATATACTATCAGACTTCTGTCCTCAGCTGCTCTCTGCAGTACCACAGCTAGGGTGAAACAGTTGTGGAACTAAGAGAAAGTGGAAAAGAGGTGAAAACAAACAGTTGCGAGTAGTTGGTTCCATCATTTGAGAATCACTTTATGTGAGTAAATTATTCATGAACATCAGAAATGGAATCTCCACACCTTGCTCTTTGGAAATCAGAAGTTGTAGGGGAAAACCCCCACACTTCAGAACAAAATGTTTAATATGACTTATGTAATAAATTGCATATAGTTTTGTGGATCTCAAAAGTTTTCTGAACTTTATAAAATGTCTTCACAGGAATTGCTGTTATTCCTACATTTGTTACAGGGAGAGGGTTTTATAGGTCACTTTAAAAATAATTATTAAAGTAAGATTAGTTCTCTGTTCTTCTGAGCCTGTGACAACCAAAATTAACTGGTGTGACATAAATGTTCCTGCTTATCTGATTTGACATTTGATTTGTGATTTGAGGCTTTTGCTTTAAGCCATAATGTATGCCAGAAGAAACAATGCTAATTCTGTTGGCAATCTGAAAAGATGACATTGAGCTTCTTCTTAATCAGATATGATTTATCTTAAATCATAATTCTTGAATGAGACTCTTGTGAGGACTTCTAGTTTTCTATTCATGTCTCCCTTCAAAGCATTTTTGTTTGTGGTTGAATGATTGGTAGTCCGTTCTTAACTTTGGAAATGCACATTAAGTATTTCCTCTCAAAATTTTTCTTCCTTCAATGCGGTGTTCTCACTGCTAGCTCTTTTCAATACAGCTGAACTAGCAATGCTCTGATCTAACATTATTTTCACTATTTAATAGATTTTCTTCTAAGGAGCTCTGAAAAGCGGGATCTTAAGAAAAGCAAAGGTGAAGTGTATGCAATGTGTACTTTATGGGAAAGCTTGTTTATAGCTGTCTCATCTAGTATTCTATCTCTATCAAAAAGAAATTCTTTACAAATTTATCTTTTGGCTTAACCATGCAGTGGATGGTATCTTTGGGTCTTAGCTCTGAAATTGTCACAGGCGTGAATCTAGATTGCTGCACAGTAATTAGTTCTATTGGCTTTAAACATCAGGTTTGTCAAGTTTGATCTTTTTGGGGATTGTATTCAGAAAAGATGAGTTCTACAGACTGTAGTTATAATAGCACTAATTATAGGTATAACCATAAAGAGTCTGGGCAGGATCCTTGGTCTTATACGACTAAGAACTGGTATTCGTCAGCCGGCCAAACTCCCGTGTAACCTGTCCTTTCAATTACGTCACCTATCAGGCTTCTGGCCAGCTCAGCTACATGGGACATGCGTGGCCACACACGGTGGTGGCTCTTGCTGTTTCTTGCTGCCCTTGTGAATGCTGTTTTATTTCCATAGTGACTAATGTGCCATGAATTGGCAACGTTGGTACTCATTAGGCTAATTAACTTGCTTCCAGATAGATTTTGTATGTAATGCAAAACAACGCTGTGCTGCTTGAAAGCTGTATTATGGAGATTCCAAACTTTTATAAACTACTTTCTCTAGGTCCTTCACCAGTGCTAGAATTAAAAGTTTTTGACTCTGCGCTAAGGCAACATTCAACCGGAAGGAAACTGTGCATTCAGAGACTATTTAAGAAAAATAGAGAAGGCTGAACCCAGGGCTCTAGGTTTTTGGTATAAAGGCTTAGTGTCTACCAGGTATTAAAATAACTTGCTTATTAAAGGGTTTATCTGTCAGTCTTTCAATTTATTTTTATCTGTTGGTTTTTTTCTCAGCATAGTCGCTAGTTTTTTTTTTCCCTGTACTATTTTTTGGTTTGGTGCTAAAAATTTCAGCAAGGATTTTAACACTTCATAAATGCATAGCTTTATATTGTACAGAAATCATATAGATGCTTGTCCTCATTTGGAATAACGTAAAATCCTTTTCACTGGCTATATAAGGAAGGTTGCTCTTGGTTGTGGTTAGGATTGCAATACTGTTGGGAAGTTTATACTTGTAGCTGCAACACTAATGTCACAAACTTCCTAGAAATCTGCCTAAAAGAAACACTGTCCTTGCAATATTTTGGGGATCAGGAGCATCGTTGGCACATTCCTACGTTTTGTGATGAGCTGTCTCTACTATACACATTTGTTACTTCTTCCAACGTGTTTTTTGATAGATGTATACCAGGCACCTAGCCAGTTATTAGGCTTTATTTGAGGCTTCGGGTGTCTGTTCCTCCTGTGGTGTTCTGTGGTAACTCTATAGCGATTAATGCATTTTATAGTGAAATTTGGACCACAACTTCCTAGTGCTACAAAATCCTATAATACTGTTTTCATGCATTTGCAAAGCAACGTTTGTCTTAACATGTATATTGGTTAAGAACTTTCTCCAAAAAAATTGCATTCAAGACATGGAAAGCATTTTCTTACTGTTGGTTTGCCGTCACAGCCATCTGGGCTGTGCTCTTGATCTAGTCTTAATACCTCTTGTGCTGTAGATAATGTGTGCTTATGCAAAATATTATTCCTAGAGGAATAACTGTGGCCATATCAGTGGTTAGAAGTCAGATTATTTTAGTGAGATTGCCTAGCAAATTCCCACTTTGTGGGTGCTCATTTGACTTAATTCATTTAGTCTAGTTAATTTTGAAACAAATGCCTATTAAAAGCAAGCTGACCACAACTTCTTTTAGCAGTTATATTTCATGGAATTGTAAGTCTGCCAGTAGGTTAGGAGCTGTGAGGGTGAAAACTTTGACATGAGCTGAATTAGTTAATTCTGTGAACTTCAGCTTGGAGGTAGGAGAGTCAAAACCCATGTAATTGTGTTCCGAACCAGATGAGGACTCCTGTGATTTTGGTTTCAGCAACCCTACAATAAGTAAGGAAACAAAATAAAGATCTCCAAGCTGTTCCTGCAGCTTTATAAAAAACGCCTGTATGGTAAGAACTAAAAAAAGATTGCTGTACTTCAAAGTATGAGAATTCATCATTGCATTAGATGACAGATATTAATTAATGGAACTTTTCAGTCTAAAAATCTGTACTGTATGAATGGAACAGAGTGGAGCAGGTGGTGTGGGACTCTGTTGCAAGGAAGTTTAGAGCAGACACTTTGGTCCAAAATGCTGTGGGGGAAGTCTTCTGATGTAAGCACTGCAGTGGGGTTTTAGCTAGCCTGCTGGCCTGGTGTGACTCATCAGTTGTGTGTTTTGTCAGAAATGACGTTCGTTAACGTGGGTAGAGCACTATGCCCAGTTCTGCTTAGTGTGTGTTTGTATTCACACTATCATTGTTGCAAAACTTTTGTTAGCTTTACATTGGCCAAGCTCCTTAATTTTTTTTTTTAAATGATCCATGTTCCTCACTTATACAGTGAGACTAAGAATAAGGGATTTCTGAGAACGGTTAAACAATCAAAAATCTCTGGCTGTTACCATTTGAGACGTTATGGTGAACATACAAAGCACCATCTTTGAAAACGCAGAGCGGAGTCTGGGTATTGCATGGCAAACAGAGCACAATTTTGAGCTGTTATTCCATAAGAGTGCTGGTTGCTGCTGCCTTGAATATGGTGGGTTACTTTAGAAAACAATAGCTGAGCAATTACTTTATGCTTTCTGTGACTACATTACAATAACCTAAATTGCCTGTTTGTACACTTCGGGTTCTGCCAGCTTTTTTAATGAAAGGTCTGAGGGTATCTTAATCTTGCAAACTAGCACAGTTTGTTTATCCTGTATTTTTGAAATTCATGTTCCTTGAATTGATAAGTTTAAGTCCTTTTTTTTTAATGGAGGTTAAATTACATTCTGGTTTGTGACGTTCCTAACTTAAGTATAGGGATTATCACTCAGCAAGGCATCTTTCTAAGATCTAAGAGACTTAGTTTTAACTTAAAATTCTTCTTTCATTTCAGAGGAAAATTTGCAGTGGTGAAGAAGTGCATCCAGAAAGACACTGAAAGAGAGTTTGCAGCAAAATTCATGAGAAAAAGAAGAAAGGGCCAAGACTGTCGGATGGAAATTATTCACGAAATTGCAGTCCTTGAGCTGGCACAATGCAACCTTTGGGTCATTAACTTGCATGAAGTTTATGAAACTGCAACAGAGATTATTTTAGTCCTGGAATAGTAAGTTCTGATAATGATTCCTGAATAACCTTCTGTAGTATTTGCTTAAAACCAGTAATGTAAAAACACGGTGTGTCAATATGAGTAATGTGAAAAGATTTTATTGCTTGCCTGTTACACTTGCTTGAGTTCAGAAAGGATTGCTAAGAAATGTGCAGTCTTATGTGGAGATTATAATAACTTCTTCCAATTATGTAGTGTCTTCTTTCAAAGCTGAACTATAATTTATGTAGTTAAAAAAAACTTTATTGAAATATGAACCGTGTACACTCCCTACTTGTGAAAGAGGAAGAAGAAAAAAGGAAAGAGTACCTGTTCAAAAACTGAAGTTTTATTTCCTTAACAGTGACAAAGATGGGGTGAAATAGGTGGGGGTTTTTTTACCAGTTATGAAAAAGGTATTGAAAGCAAGGTCATTGTTGAAAAGAAACTATCAAAAACCCCTATGATCTACAGTAAAAAGCTCTCTAAATCATTATCTTTTGGGGGAAGAAAAAGACTAGGAGGGTTCAGACCTAGAATAGTTTCTTTCAAGTGACATTTAACTTGTAACTCTCCATTTGTCTGTGTGGTTTTTTTCCTCCCTTGGTTTGTCCAGATGGGAGTTTCTGCAGCTGTTGTGACTGTTCATCTAATACCCCAGTGGCTTAGATATTTGACATCTAGGTTCCAAGAGGCAGCCAAATGTTTGTTGCTATTGAACTCTGTTAAGATCCTTTCCAAGCTCTATGGATTTTCAATAATTAGGAGAAGAACAGTGAGGCTCGATAGTTCAGAAGTAACTTAACCTGTCTGCTAAGATAAATCTAGTTTGTGCAGTTCTTCCTTGGTAACAAAAATGAAAGGTTAGAAATCTTGTGTCCCAATTTGATCTTGTTTAGAAGTCAAAAGCAACTGTCTCTTTAAAGTTCAGTGAAATGGAATGAGACAGTGTCTGCCAAGGCAAACTTCCTTCTAGAATACATTTTTTTCAACTTCTTCGTGACCTTATGGAATTCATGATTTATGAAATATTCAAGTATCTGTTACAATGCGACGGTGTGACAGAGCTCCTAGAGTTTTAACTGCTGTTATTGAAGACTCATAAATACATGCTTTAAACAATAGCAGCACAGATCTAACTAGAATACAGTTTAAACTTCTGGATCCCATATATATATGGGATATAACATGAGTGATAAAATCGAAAGCTTGATATGAGCAATGGGTTTTGTGATAATTTTAATGCAAGATTGCTGGTTTTCTTTTAGAACTCAGTTCCGTAACAATTGCAAAACATTTTTAATCCAAAGTATTAGCTCGGTTGTTCAGTAGTCACCAGGTTGTTCAGCAATTAGCAACATTATTGTTTTTATATGCATCAGTCATACCTTGTTTCAGATAAATAGCTGTGTATTAGAGTTGTAAATTACAAAAACAGTCTTTCCCTGACTTCAGCAAATATGTCTGGATGCTTCTTTAATGTCAGCATGTTCCAGAGACATGTTGCAACAAAACAGGTATGAATGTTAGTAAATTTCTGACATTCTGTATGCAGAGGATAAAAGAACCTATCTAGGCTGCAAGCTTCTCTAGGGCATTTCAGTTTCTATTAAGCTTAATGGTCTGTGTGGCTGATCTTCATCTTGGGAAGGAGAAAAACATACTTAATTGTTGGCTGCTAACTTTATCTGCTAAGGTTTTAAAGTTTCTTGTCCTGATTTTGAATCTGTCAAAAGGTGGGGGGACAATTAGTACTTTGCTTTCATGAAGAGAAATACTAACGTTACATGGAGGGCTCTCTTTCAAGCAGTATCAATTTTTGACAGAAAACAAAATTGCCCACTAACTGTTATTAAATATTAAGTTCTGAACAATGGGAAGCAATGAGGCATTACGGTGTTGGCTTCAGCTGTAGAATAGCAGATTGGTGGCTGTCTGCATCCACCCTGACAACAGTCTCTGACTTCTTTTTGTTGGCACAAGTCTTCAAACAGAAGATTTAAGTAGGAGTGGAAGGGGTAAGTCTGAAGGGGTAGCATATAAGGCCTGGAATTCATCTGTAGGTCAGTTGTCTTTCTATATATCAGTGAAAATGGAATGAATGAAAAAGAAAACTGGACTTTTACTGTAAAAGGTAGAGATACAGTCTGGAAAACCTGACACATCAGATATCAAATTTGCTTTTTTTCCTTTTTTATAACTTTTGGGCTCAATATTTGTATGCAACCTACTTGCTTTTTCCAATTTCCTTTGAAGGAGTGCAGCAACAGAGCATGTGATGCTTAAGAACTGGTGTTTTTAAGTGTTCATCACCATACGTTTACACATCTATGGAAGAGATAGGTAATATTAGTGGGTTATTAGTGGGTCAGATAAAGAAACCTGTATGCATAACTTGAAAATCTAAGATGTTTTTCAGTATTTTTCTGTGAAGAGCTTCTGAACTGAGTAATTACCTGCCAGGGTATTGTGTAGATATAGTAGACTTCTGTTATGCTTACTTGAAAAAAAGAAAAAAGTTGTCTTTATCGCCTTGAAGACATGGTCAGAGTTTATTTGATATGATGGATGAAGTGCTTTTTTCACTTATAGTTACTTGGAGCTGGATAATGTTACTATTTGTATTGTCTTGGACACTACTTAGTGTCCTACTTTTACTGCAGGTGTGATGACTGGTTGAAGTAGGAGTCTGCTGGCAGGAAACGATTCGTTTGGCATGGGATTTGGTGGATAGAACTTAAAGCAAAACCACTGTAATCAGAATTAACTGTGCTGCTCCAGTGTTTGCATCTTGTCTATTAGAGCAATTAACGAAGTTGTTCTAGATGGCAGTCTCAAATCAAGACTGGACCTCTGCAAAATGTTTTAGGGGAAAACTTACCAAATGGTGTTAGTTACCTTTTGTTTGTGTTTCATTCAGTTGTTGGGCTGCCTGATCAGAAAGGTTAAGGCAAAAAAAGATGCATTTGTCTGAGAACCAAGAAATTTAAAAGAACAGTATCTACAACTTAATGCACTCTTCCCATATGTCCTCTCATCAGATACAGATTTACAGTTTTCTCAGTCTTTGGGGACATTGTTATGTTATTGTAGCCTTGCACTGGAAAAAATCTCAGCAAATGCACGTGCTTATGATCTAATGGTATGCCTAGCTAAGGAAAAGGGGGTACAACTGTCAGCAGTAGTGAATGTGAACTTTTGCTGGTGATACAACCACCTTGGTGTGATCTTCTTGTAATAGAAGCTCTGCATACAGAAAGCAGATGAGTTTCCATTTATCTTCCAAAGATAACCCTTTCAAGAAAGGCTTTCGACCGAGCGTAAGATTCAGGAAGTAAATTTGTACCCCTTACAGACTGTATAGGGTTTCACTCAGCATTTGAAATTAAGTGTATTCTACGAACTTGTTACCTACATACCTGTACTCTGAGGATTTGTACTTCTGAGTCTTTCAGAAGACTATCTTAAGATCTGATCCGTTAAAGCTGGGGGACTGTTTAATTTTTTTTCAGATGCTCTGAAATAGATTTGCTCAATCTCTTTCTAACGATATGCTAAAGGACTGTGGTAGTATATTGTAAGTGCACTCGAAGGAAGTAGGATGCTGAATTCTGTACAGTGCACTGTTAAGATGTGTTTGAAGGAAGATAAGCCATCCCCACTGAATTTAAAGTCAATATAATTGTAACTAAAATTAATGCTCCAGACTTTCAACTGACTTTTAGGTCATTTATGCTGATAAGCAGTAATAAAATGTTAGCATGCTTTTCATTGCTGAAGAGTAGTTGGATTTAACTTGAAACTATGCAGAAGTTAATAGCACAACAGTACTTTCATAAACAAATTAAAATAGCTAAAGAATTCTGGTTGCCATAGCTTTTAAGTTTGGAAAGAATTAATGTGTGTCACGTTTTTGGTACAGCTAACAAAAGGGGAGTATGTACTAGCAAAATAATGCATTCTGAGTAACACTGGATTTCAAAACATTGTGCTCTTAAATATTTTCTTATCCCTTTTTTTCAAGTTAAGATGGCTTGTTTTCCTAAAGACTTTCTTGTCCTAAGGACAATTCTTTGCTTTTATCCCTAGGAACATTTTCTGTGGAGGTGGGTGGGGGTGCCGAGTTGCTTGCAAAGTTATTTCATAATGACCATTAGAAAAGCTACAGCTTAATGGAAGATGCATTCTTAGAGGAAAAATGGGTAAATGGTATAAACTCCAGAGAACTCCTGGTCTGTATGTATACAGAAATAATAGCAATGACATGCCCGTAATAATTTCCTAGCAGGTATTTTAATCCCTTCTGTGTTTTGACTTTTTTTTTTTTTTCCCCTCTGAACTCTGGGGAATACAAAATAACTGAGTTGAAAGTATTGTTAAGGAGCTTGGCAAAATTTGGCATAGATGTGTGGGAGAATCGTTTTGGAGTTCATTTTAACATTGTACTTCCAACCACTTGTGACTGGGTTGGCTCAGAGCTAGCTGACTGTTTTGCTTAAGGGAATCAATTAAGCTCACTCCCCAGCAACAATACATGAAATAGTCTTGCAGTACAGATTTCCCCGTGTTCTTGTAAAGGGTTGCTAGTTACTTGTTTGAATGTGGTAATTTTTTGGATAGAATGAATTATCTGGAAAAAGTTGTTCTATCTGCATCCCAAATAGCAGAGTTGATCAAAATGAAACGTTGCATGTGAAAACACCTTTCCATGTGAAACTTTCTTGTAAAATTAAGTATATTTGTCTATGGTAGCTGAGAATGGCTGTTTCACAAGTCATGAAGTGCATGTGTATGTGTAAGGGCTGTATTTGCTTGTCTCACTCCTAGAAATGCTGATGAACCTAGGCATCTTCAAGTACTGGGAGGTACTTAACTTTTTTTTTTTAAGGTTTTCTTGATCGAGGGCTTTCTCCTCTTGTATGGTAGTGCTGTCTCTTGATTTCAGTGATGGGACGTTGTGTGCTTCAACTTCTATTGCCTCAACTTTTAACATGTTTAATTCAAAGTTGCCTAAGTGTAGTATTAAAATTCTAGGTGGCTTATGTTTGAGCTTGGTGCCTACTTCAGTGTTAATTTGTTTATTAGTGTGATTTAATTGTAGCAGATGCCTATCAAATAGGCATATAGAAAACAAGTCTTTATAAGGCCCCCCCTTTGCTGATTTTTTTTTTTTTTTTTTTAGCTGAGTCTATTAAATATGAATTTTGATCCCTGGTTGACAAAAGCAGTTTTAGGGTACAAATCCTATTTCATATAGAATTAAATAGTGCAAGTACTGTTTTGCTGATTTTAAGTGGCAGAGATATACCAGAAAAATCCCAGGGTTGTTGCTGTAATCATGTTAGTAATTCATCATGTTAGAAATTTTGGTAGTAGATCTTATCACTGTATGTGCAATATAATTTACTACTACAAGGAATTAAATCATTTTCCCAAGTAACATATTATGGCATTCTTAAAGTAAAAAGTTTAATTTATTGATTACAGTAGATGTTTTTCTATCCCTATCTTGAAGATCCAATTGATAATTTGTTTTAAAATATTAGAATACACTATCCAGTGTCAATTTTTTAAATGTCATTAGTACCTGAATCCTGCTCAAAGCTGGAATATTACTAACTTGTTCCTGGAATTAAGTAGAAATGTGCTGAAGAGAGACGTGGTAGTGTCAGGCATACGCAATTTTTCTAGTGGAGTTATATTAATACTCCTTCAAAAACTCATTTTATTCTTGAGTTCTATCAGAGTTCTATCATCTTTGATACACGATGAAGAAAAATAATTATTTAATGGACTTTTCTTTTTTAAAAGAAAATGTTAGTTTAATAATTCAAATTCTGCTTCTGTACCAGTATGCCAGCATATAGAACAGAAATACAAAACTCTTCAGAAAAAGTTAAGACGTAACCCTCTTTTAAATTCTTTTTGCTTGTAAGACAATTTATAGGGAGAATTTTAAATAACAGCAATGCAAATATCTGGGAAGGCAAAAAGTTTTGATAAGCCATGAGGCATTTTAAGGTGCTAGGACTAGCAGCAAAGTTAGTATTGACAAAATGAAAAACTGAGTATTAGTGTTCTTTTTCTGGGGGTACATAATCCAAATGCACCGCTTTTGTAGGACTCTCATTCACTGTTAGATACTTGTTGCATATGCCTCTCTGTCTTCTGGATTGCCTAGGTATTATAATTTATTAGAAAAGAGCAAACGAAGGCAGAATAGATGGCTATGCATCAATAAAGATTAGCGCTTGTGCAAAGTCAGGTTTGGCATGTCACAGTTTGGGGTAACTGGAGAAGATACTGTCCTCAGGGGGTTCACCATCTCTCATGAAGGGATGATAATAGAATTTCATGCAGAGCAAAGTGTGTATGCGTTGATTTAATTTATATGACGCTAAGTAGTAATTGAACAATCCATATGCAAAATGTAGCCATCTAATGTTCTTATGCCTATTCTTGTTTTAAAATGGAGCCTCTGCTCTGCTTATTTCACTTCTGAGGCTACATGGTTATGTTGTAAAACAATTTAATTTTCTAGAGTCACTGCTATACAGAGATGATACTGCATGCAGCTTCAGAGTACTTTGAAAATGTTCATTCCTCTGTAGTTATTATATTTTTTTGTTACTTTGTTATTTATTTAAACATTTATAAACATAAGATAAGCAAGCTGAGAGCTAAAATTTTCAGAAGTATTTTTAGATGAAAGTCACTGAGGATCTTAATGCATCCCTGTATGCCAGAGACTTCATAAACAGTTAAATTATAAACTTTACATTTAGTGATTTGAATATGTGCAAAGTGTTTAGAGGAGGATTGGGGGTGGAGCTGCTTTGCTTTGTGTTTACAAAGGCCTACCTTGGCCAAACTTCTGTGTAGTTTCATAGGAATGGCAAAAGGCACATCTTTTACAGTAAAACATTGCCCTTAAACAAATGTGGCATTCGCCTTAAAGCCTAGTCGGTAGTGGCTCCAAAATAGTCCCCAAAATGTCTGTAGTATTCATATTCTCTAACCTAAATGGCTAAGATCTTTGCTTCCCTCCAAGGCTGCCATACTGCAGAGAAGTTTTCCTAGGCTGTAAAAGCTTGCCCCATGTTTGATAACTGAAAATATCACTCTTGGATGTTAACAACTGCTGATCTTGCTTATGCTAAATAAAATAGTGTGAGTAGAACAAAATGGGTGCTTTAACTTAGTCTTTGAAATACTAAAATTCATATTGTTCCATAGCGCTGCTGGAGGTGAAATCTTTGACCAGTGTGTGGCTGAAAGAGAAGAAGCCTTCAAAGAAAAAGATGTTAAACGACTTATGAAGCAGATCTTAGAAGGAGTTTCATTCTTGCACAGAAACAATGTGGTTCATCTTGACTTAAAGGTAAGATTCTTGCTGTATTTTTCTCATTAATTTCTTACCTGCTGACTTCCTTACTGGTCATATGCCGTACTAATGCTAATTTGTAATCAACACAATTTCTATCTAGTTATTCCTTGAACGATAAAATTCAACCTTTGGGATGCAGTGGGCACCAGGGTTGTGAACCTTTTGGGGAGTTCCTATGATTATGTCAAATATAAACTTCACTTGATTAAGTGAGATGTAATTAATTCAAAAGTGGATTTGTGTTGCACCTGAGTACTTTGGGTAAGACCTGACTCATTTTTTTTAAGTGCAGTAAAACTGTGTGGGTATTATATGGCCATTGAAAAATCAGTTTGTTTTGTATTGACTTGAGTTTTAATGAGGCAGAAGGAGGGCAGAGACACTGGTTAGTATAAAGCGTAATGTTTCAGAATTAAGTGTTCATGCAGGACTGGTAAACAGTATGTTAATGTGTTAAATATATTTATAACACTTCAATATTTTTTAAATTACTGTAAAACTTAATTTAAATGTTTGTCATTCACTGCCAAACAGCTGGCCGACAACCTATTGGTATATCAAGTATCATCATTTACTGGAGTAAATATTTTTTTCTTACTGAAAAAATAGTTTTGGCCCAAATCAAGAGAAAAGTACAGTTGCCATCATAGAAAATCCAGAGTATTGCTTATGGTTAAGAAGGGAGTTGTAACAGGGATCCAGAAAGCTATCATCTCCCATTGGCAGCAAGCTGCAATTAATTTTCTTTAGCTTCCATCCATACACTGGTATGGAAGATGCAATTTTATCTCATTTTGAGGTTGAACTACTTTTTATACTGCCTTGCTTAGCAATAATGAAGTATCTTGCAGTCAAATTTTTGAATTCTTTTTTTACATGCCCAATTCCCATATTTACTAAGTATGTAACAAGCTGCTACATGTTTCTTCTGTTCTGCTGCTGAGAACCTTACTTACACTCAATTGCATTTTGGCAGTAGTACAAAGCTACCAGTAGATTCCAGTATCAAGCTGTACATACTTAATCTATAACCTAGCACATAATGCACTGTTCGTCAGCTAAAGCAGATGATGAGTAATATTTGCACACAAATATCTCACCTGCCTGGTTTTCCAACCATTTATTCAAATTATCTCTGGAATACTTTAAAACTTTCTGTAGCCCATTGATTTAGTCGTATACATAGAATATTAATAATTGCACTAAAACAATTAATGGAAGACTTTTAGCAAGTGGTGTAAGTGTTCAAAAGGACTACAAATGAGCAGTTAGAATTCCTTGAAGTTCCAGTATGCTTACACAAGATGCTTGACTATGGTTGGCCAAAAAATATTTACGTTTAATTTCCTTGAAGCAAAGTGTGTAAAAATTAAAACATGTCTTTTGTGGGCAGTGTGTACAGTAACTGCATGCTTGTAGTTAAAGCTGTGGTGTTCCCAAGCACTATCAGCTTTGTGCTTTATTTGACTACAGTACTTCGCTGAATGGCAAAAATAGACTGGGGTGTTGATTACAGCTTCCAGACAGGTAGCTTTTTCAAAGTTCAGAAAAAGTTTACTTAAAAACTCTTTCCAACTTGTCAGAAACTTGCGTTATAAACTCAAGCATCTCCAGTTCTCAATGAAAGATCCAGCATTGCTTTGCTGCCTTGTAAAACTTAATTAGCAGAGTAAATTGTTTAGTGTTTGAGTTTAATATGTTTATACGTTACTGCAGTGTGCAATGTGTTTCTGAAAAGTGGATCTTAATAGGAGTTCTAATTGCAGTGTGATTACTTTCATGATATATGAGACTTGGTCTTTTGCAAAATAAGGTTTAGGGAAGCCTTCAGAATACTGGCAAATGAGGATGATGGAAACTGTAGGATTAAAAACCATGACTTGTGAGACTTTAAAAAAAGGTTCATTTTTAAAGAAAACTCAAAAATTGAAGTTGGGTGCTGGCTTTAGCTGCATGTTTATTAACACACTGGCCTCAAACAATCTTCTGTTGTATTGCATGGTTCGTGCTGCTTTACCAAGTGCCTACAGCACTATGGAATTTACTAAATACTTAGGTTTGTGGGGTGACATTGGGAAGACTTTTGTGAAGTGTGCTGCTGGCAAGCAAGGTGTTTGCCAACATCAGAAAGTTTACAAATACTTGCTAAAATGCTTTCCTTGTGGTGTTAGTTTCACATTTGGGTGTCTAAAGGTTTCCCTTTCATTTGTCTGGTACAACTACCTTTGGAAAGGTCGATCCAATTTTCCTGTGCTGCACCTTCAAAAAATTCAGTCTCTATGCCTAAAGAATTTAGGTCAAAATGGTTATCTGTATGTGACTGTCAGCTGCTTATAGGTTTGTGTTATAAATTTAATCAGCCAGATCTATGACACTGACAGCCAGCTTGCTTTAGCTTCTCTCTGCCCCCTTAATAGGTGCAAGATTTTTCCTAAGAGACTAAACACAGCAGAAAAAAATGGGGTATTCTGATGTGGCATAGCAGGGTTGCCATCTGATCATTTGTTTCCAGAAGCATGGTTCTCCTGAAAGATGGTTGAAAAATGACTTTGGTTTTAATACCAAAATCCAATCATGTAGTCCAGTTTTGACTTGGAGAAAGAGCAAATATAATGCTACTGAATGCAAATTAAGTATCACTTGGCAGTATTGTGTTAATGCTATTTAATTTGCAGGGTGTGCATAGATTGTAGTCAGGAGTCTTTCATCTCCTCTTAATGGTGCATAAAGCTGCAGAGTAAGGGAAGACTCCTTTGTGTTTTCATTTGCTATTTGACTTGATCTTGAACTGGTGTTTGGTAAAAACTTAAAGTAGTTGGGAATGGAAGAGAATTTAAAAAGGCGTAGGGGTTGAGGAAGGGCTAACTGCCTCTGGTAAAAAGCGGAGATAGCTAAAGAGCCTTACATAGCCCTGGGGTCTGGGAGAATGCCTGCCCCTCTCTCCTACAGTGTATATTACTCTGGTTATCCAACGGACGACTTTTCCCTTCCTTCTGTATTGTTTTCAAGATGTCATATACAGCAAGGACAACTAGCAAAAATCATTATTTGAAATTGTTTTGGGTATCATTTTACACCAATATTCAGAAAGCAAACTAATGCAGTTACAAAAGAAATGGCCTGTTGCAAGAACACTACCAATGAATTTTCTCAACTGAGTTTTCCAGGTGGATTGAGGCAGAATGTTTATTACACAGAAGTCTAGTATCCCTTGTTTAAATGAACACCCAGGAAACTAAGAAAAGAGTTTAAAATTAAAATAGCAATTTTTCAAGGCAAAAGAACAGTTTAATGTGGCATTCAAACCTTTATAGCAATTAGAGCAAAGCTGTTTATTAATAGGCAGGTACAGACTATCCAGGTTCTACAGAACCTATTTTGATTATAGCCTTATTTCTTAATTTGAGACTTGCATTGCTTATTGTGGGGAATAAGGTGTGATGCGTGTCTAATATGTGTACTCTTTTAGTGGCTGCTGCATTTTTTCCACTTGTACACATGGACCAAAAAAACCCAACACTCAAACAAATTCTGCCTTAACATTTCAATTGCTTAAATATAGGGGAGTCCTTTAACTTCTTTTAGGGCAAACTGATCAGCCTGCTTTAGTATCTTCACACACAATGTAGCTGGGGTATCCCAGCTAGGCTGTTTTTCCTGTTTCTGCTCATTATTCCTTGGATATGTCCTGTCTTGTCTTCTAGGGATCTAATTTTTTTACAGTATCATAAAATTAGACACCTAAATTAATATTGTGGGTTAAGGTGAGGCATTGATTAGTTTAAAAACATGATCTTTATTATGCATCCTTAGTCATACTCTTCTTGAAACCAGCTAAAGATACAAGAAATTTATTAGGGCCAAAGGTTCATAGAAACTTCTGGAATAATGGCAAATTTGCCCTATATACAGATTTTTATAGTCAGTTTACAAGATTCCAAAACCTGCTGGCAATGTAGGGTTGAATGGTATCCCACTTCACTGAGTACGCTTATTACAAACTATTTGTGTGATTTGCAGAATAAGTTTCTAGGTGAGAACAGATCTTTGTATATATTGCCTTACCTTAGACTTTGCACTGTGTATAGCTCCAAGAAAGCAATGCTCTTTTTATGTGACAGTAGTTTAGTCCAATTTCAGTGAAAAACGTAAGACTGGTGAATGCTTGCGTTGACAAATGATGCTTTTCACTGCTATTACTCTAACGTGATGATACAGGTATAACCAACATCTCAGATTCCTAAAGCCCAAGCTTCTGACTGCTGACAGCATGGCTGGAAAAATACAACTGGTTTTTTTGCTTTTAGAATCTTTCCAAAGGTACCCGATTCTGGCCATGCTAACGTGACACTGGGCTAGACTCGTGTGGCCACATCATGTGGCTTCTGTGCACATACCAATCTTGCAGTAAAGTACATCCATTCAGATTGACCATTTAGGCAGGGATTTTTTTCTTTCTATGTTTTTGTTCAGTGCACAACATAAGAGGATCTATAATTGGAACCTTTAAGCCTGACTGCAGTAGAGGGGGGGGGAGGTTTTTAAATGTTGCCATTTGGTGGTTTTCATTAGGCATTTCATTATTGCTTGATGGTAAGAGCGAAAGGCCCTTTTTGGAACGGCTACCAGGAGAGCCTCGGGCCTGCATCTTTCTTGCCCTTGTGGACTTTAGGCAAACCTAGGTGTATTACTGCAGTGGAAAAACAAAAGAGAATCACCTTTAGGGATGTGGGAAAATTATCTTCCTTTTCTTAAAGCTTTAGAGTAATTGTGTCAAGCTGAAAACTATGGTAAGTTCAAAGCTAGGGCTTCTTTAAGTATCTATGATCATGTTTAGACTATCACTTCACTTGAACCCTGTAATGATTCCTTAACAGAAGAGAAGGACTGATACGTCATGAATTGATTTAGATTTATGACTCAATTTGTGCTGTAGACAGGTTTTTTTCTGCATAGGTGTGTTTTGAATAATCAGTGTTTTTTTAAAAAAGACTTCTGCAACTACATTATCTCCTAAAATATTATAACACAGGGATTAAGGGTTTCACAAAACATTTCCATTAAAAACTCTTCCTTGTTTAAACACAGAGGGCAAATGCTTTTCTCATGCTTTCTATTTGCCTCTTCAGAAAGTAACTAAATTTCTCACTGGGAAGAACATCTGAGAGGCTAATTAGGGAGGCATGGTCAGCATTTTTGGATGTTTGCTTTTCTAATACAAATACAGAATAACAAATGTGAACTATAAAGCATATGGTAATGTGCAGCTCTAAAAGCCTTTGTACAGCCACCAGATCTCAGTTTGTAAGCAAAAAAAAAAAAAAATAGCTGTTCTTAATACATAGATTTACAAACAGAAATTGCATTGACAACATCATGGAGTTCGTTTGAAATACCATGGTTTGACTTTGCAGGAATGAAAGAACTTGACTATCTTTAGGACTTGCAAGAACAACTGGCCCAAGGTTTTTAAAGTGTTCTTGCACAGGTTTATGTCTGTGTCCAAAAGTGAGGCTGTTTGTGTGAAAGCATGCCGTGATGGACTAGGGGATCAGGAGAGAATGGCTTAGTGATTAGGGAAAAAGTATAAATGTCGGTGTTAATGCAGTTGGATTATCAGTTGGTGGTTGCTTCTATGTTCTCACTCTTTTGCCCTCCTCCCTTTTCAATCGCCCAAATGCAAGATGATCGAGGTTCTCAATAAACAAAGGCTTCTTTACTTCCATAGAACTTGGGCTCACCAGAGGCATATGAATGTAGTGTCAGCTGGCAGTGTTATCATTCAGAGAAGTTAATGTTAAACCCAGTGTCATCATTGGCCTGGGGACAGGGAGGGTCACACCTTTTTTTTTTTTTTTTTTTTTTTGGCAAAGATGTGCTTCAGTTACAAAAAAAAAAAAAAATCTCTTAAGGCCTGTTGTCTAAAGTTATTTTTCAGTCAAAAAAAATGAGCTAGCATTCAAAGTAGATGGCAAGGAACTTCTTAATGACCACAAAGTTGCTTTGAAGGATGACAGCCAAGATCTAGTGACGTCAGAGCAAACAAGTTTATCCAAAGGTGATGCTCTTAAAAACCTGTTTTTCAGGCTGCTGTATTTTTTTTTAAACTGTTCAGTTAGTATTCTGTAATACAATTGTTTGTACTTTGAACAAGATTGAGGTCGGTTGCAAAAGACTTTCTTTAAACAGGTGTAGTCAAAATAGTTTTATGTGTTCAGGTCTTTTAAAATGATTGGGTGTTTTTGGACACCCTTCAAGAGGAGGTATTTTGTACCATCTCTTGGAAGGAAGCAAGGAGGAAAGGGGAGTTAAAAAGGTGCTATGAAGGACTAAAGGTATGAATGTGAAGGTATTTATATGCTGTTGTTAAATGATAGCTACTGGCATGTCTTTTGTATGTGTTCTGAGCTAATAAAGGTAGAAGTTTTATTTTCAATTATAAACACAAAATCCTGCCACTCCCTTTAGCCTGCATGTCTCTTCAAGTTCACCTGGGGGTGGGGGGGGATGACCACAAATGTATAAATGATCCTGGTATCGTGCTTGTTATGGAATGCATTATTGCTACTCATAATCTAAAATAATTATGCAATATGGTGTCATAGACATTAGAACTGGGTGATCCTGAAAGTCTCCTCCTTTTGTTTTTCAGCCCCAAAATATCCTACTAACCAGTAAGTCTCCTCTGGGAGACATTAAGATAGTAGATTTTGGCCTTTCCAGAATAATGAAGAGCAGTGAGGAACTAAGGGAAATTATGGGAACTCCAGAATATGTAGGTAAGTTGTTACTGTATGAGTGATGTGGCCCTGAGGATGGGCACTCCACTCACTTTGACTGGCAAGGGTTTACAGCTCTCTGGCTCCTGTACTTCCTCAGGAACTGCCCGAGCTTTGGGTGAGCAAAAAGAGAAACCGCCTCAGTTTGGTGAATGCCAGGCTGGCTGTGTAGTTACTGTGTTGAAAGACCAGGTTGTTACTTGGACGTGGTACTGCTGTAAAAGCTAGAACTGGTAAGCTTTGCCAGTCTAATCAGTGATAAACGTGTGCTTGTGTTGAAGATGAGTACGTGCTTTAGATGATTCTTACCAGCGGTGATAACAAGTATTACTTGGATTCGAAGTTCAGAATTACATATGCAGTCTGAATAGAATATTGTAGCTTGCGGAGTTTGTATCCATTTCATGTTTTTTAAAAGCAAATCATTTCAGGCCTTGAAAATGTACTTGGAAATATCTTTATGGGTATGGGCTGGAATACGGAATGTTGGATATTTCTCATTTTTCTGTAAGAAATTTCTGCACAGCTTCCTTAATTGGGACTGGCTGGCTTCTGAAGATGACAATAAAAGCAAAACAATTTGTTTTACTTAAAACCAATGAATGATAGTAATCACTTAAATAACTTGGATAGAAATATCTCTATTTCAAAAGACTGCTATGCTTCAAATAGCATGTATTAATTTTTACTACATGCTCGTTATTACACTATATGGCTACAATATAATGTCTACGTGTGACAAAAAATAGAACTTGTTTTTTTTCTCCTGAATAGCTCCTGAAATTCTGAGTTATGACCCAATCAGTACAGCAACCGACATGTGGTAAGTTGAACAAATTAATGGTCATCATAACTTACTTTACTGACAATGTTTGGGTTTTTTTAAGAGTAACAAAACAAAAAACTAAAAACCTGCTTTTTCTTTTTTTTTTTTTTTTTTTACTTTTAATTTAGGAGCATTGGAGTACTGGCATATGTTATGCTAACAGGGATATCACCCTTCTTAGGGGATGATAAGCAAGAAACATTCTTAAATATATCTCAGATGAATGTAAGTTACTCTGGAGAAGACTTTGACCTCATATCAGAGTCTGCTGTGGATTTCATCAAAACTCTGCTGGTTAAGAAACCAGAGTAAGTAAAATACACAATTGTACATGCTAATATGTCTCACTGGATTTGTTATAAACATAGCAAGTGCTGGAGTTTACCCTTTTAAAGTATAAGGGAACTTTGATTATTTACATGCCATTACTTTTTCATATGTATATGAAAAGAGAAGTCCCCCATTTCCTTCCAAACTTGCATGTTCTGAATGTGTCCAAGTGTTAGTAATTAAAAATCAAATTAATTTCAGAAAACTCTGTCTGGATTGCAGCGTGCAGTACAGTGTACTGACTTTCTCTGCAGGTCTGCTGATGTCTTTTAAATGAACTGAGCTTTGAGTCTTTTATTCCCGATGAGCGGGTAGAGCACCTTACTCTTTTCTGGTTCATATTAGTATGCTTTTCTCAAGGGGCAGCAAATTGGAAATTCCAGGTCTCAAAATGAAAGAGGTGTTTTCTGTGGAACTTCACCAGTTCTTCCCAGGGCATGTCAACTATTGAAATTGCCTACTGCTTGTCTGTGGGAATACTTTCATAGAATCGTTTAGGTTGGAAAAGACCTTAAAGATCATCAAGTCCAACCGTACATTTAAGAATGTAAGGATTGGATCATTTTCCTATATAAGAAAAATCTGTATAAATTTTGAAAGTTGCTTGGCAACATGGGAGTGTAAACTGTGATATTTAAGGACCTATGAACTCCTTTATTTTACATGTTAGCAGATCACCTCCTTGGGCTGCTGTTGGTCAGGGTTTTTTTTTGTAAGGTAGCTGCTATCAGTGCTTTAACTTCTGTCAGTCTGTCTTTAATACAGTCATACCCTTGGAATAATTTCTGTAGATGTCTTCTGCAATTTTAAATTCATTTGGACATTTATTTTAACACTTTCCTTCCTCTGCAGGGACCGGGCAACTGCTGAAGAATGTCTTCAACATCCGTGGTTAGAACAAAGCGATAATCCTGCTTGCAGGGCCTGGAATAAGAGTGCAGGAGGGGAGACCAGTGATGTCACCCAGAAAGATGCAGATTCTGCCTCTGAAAAATCAGTAGATGCTGAGAAGACTGAAGAGGAAGAATCAATAGTGACAGAAGAACTAATTGTAGTGGCTTCATATACACTGGGACAATGTAGGCAGTCAGAAAAAGAAAAAGTAACTGAGCAGAAAGCCATTTCCAAACGATTTAAATTTGAGGAACCATTACTGCAAGAAATACCAGGAGAATTCATTTACTGAACTGTTGTGGAGCTTCATAGCTATGACTGGAAGGCAGTGTTTTCTACTAAACAAAAATATCCTAGCCAAGTGAATTTCTGATATGCAATAAATGCTCTAGATAAAAGTAAATGTTGATAAATGGCATCCAAGGAAAATGTGCCAAGCTTTTAATTTCATGGAACAGATAAGATTTCAAGTGGCTGACAAGAATTTAACAAAGATAAAAAGCTTATTTTTATTTGTAATTTTTATTTCTGGTTTTTTTTTTGTTGCTTAATAGCAGAGTTTTTGTTAATTGTTCCAGTGTTCTGGAGAAGTTGACACTGAAAGTGTTTCAGTGACAGATGTCAAGAGGAGTATTTTTAGGATATGTTTTGGCATTTAATGCAAGTGTATAATGCTGAGTTTTCCTCTAACACCTTTTAGCACTCCTGACTTCAGTGGAACTATCTACTGATCTGAAAACTGTATGAGAGGGGAATTCGCTCAACTGGTTTGACCTACAGATTTCGGTTATACTGTGTATATATTTCTTGGTTTACATCAAGTCAAAGACGCAGGCTCATCTGGCATAGAGCCAGTCAGCTGCCCCTCTCTGGGAAGAGATGCACATGTCCCACAGGTAAAGAAATCTGTATCGGGGAACGATTCCAGATCACAGTGGTGATGCCTCTTTATTTGGGAGCACAGTAGAGTCCCGCTCCTGAGGGTGAACAATTTGCTGAAGTCGGTCACTCTTGAGGGCCAGCAGAGATCTCTCCCGTCCCCTCACGTGTTGGGCGAGGTGCGCTAATAGAATCCAGCTCCATGTGACTGAGCAGTGTTGGGGGGTGGAAAAAAAAACAAACAGAGGGTCTGATGTAGCTCTGCTGAAGTTACCAAAGTTCTCTCCACTGACTGCGCTGGGTTAGATCAGACAGCTTGTCCAACTAATGATAAGTCAGCCCTCGATTCCACCTCCCCTAGAACCCAGCTGGGGTTTTACTGGGAGCATGAGGTCACTGCTGCCTTCTTTCTGTTCCGCTAACTGCTGCTTTAAGGAAGAAAGAAGCATCCGTAGGCTAAATTGCGTAACCTTCTTCAATATAGCTATCAGATGAGGAAGAAGTTACCGCTTCCTCTGAAACAGTGAAGCACGGCTCTCACCCCGTGCTTCCCAATCACTCTCCCTCAGACATTTGGAAAACCAGCATGTGTATGATGGGGCAGGGGGGGATTAGGGAGCTGTGTGGATGGGTCGTAGCTCTTGGTGGACATAGTCCCTCAGAGGTCAAAGCTGGGACCAACTGGGCATCAAAATTGACGGGTTTTTGCAATGCACGGGTCTGAGGATCTTGGACTGAGTCCTATTTTTCTAAGAAATCTTTCATATTGATGCTGTTCCAAAGTTTAATTTTTATGTCATTGAAGTTTAGTACTATTATATTGCATACTGTTAACTATTCAACTATTTATTTGGTTTTCTTATGCTGTTCCTTTATAATAAACCCTGACAAAAGTTTTCTTGCTATAAAACAATGAATAGAAACTCTTAAGCTAGTTTTTCCTTTTTTCCCCTGTTGCTACAGACTTTCCTAATTACAAATGTACCGAGGATGTTCTTACTCTTTTTAGTGAAGAGGAGTTCAGTGCTCGGTGCTACTGTTACAGCTCCTCCTTCACACAGAAGGTCAATGGCGTATGGATAACACAGGCAGTACCGGGGTGATCCAATCAGCATTGCTGCAAGGGTGGGAGAAAAAGCGCTGGTAAAGAAGAAAACTGAACAGAAAGTAGTGTGGCACACCCAGTGGGGCAATGAACATTTTTCTGTAAGGCCTCATTGCCAGTGGTCATGTTGCCCTCACTTGAGGCCACATCAGAATAATTGCACTAAAATTAAACTGTTCTGTCAGGTTTCTTCCCCTATTGAATTACATATTGAATATTGACATAAGGTAGGGCAACTCCTCACTCCCTGAAGACCTTCATATAACAAAACATCCAATAGTACTCATATAAGTGGGTTTGGATGTGGCTTATGTTGTAATACAGAGATGCCTTTCGTGCTCTGGAGAAACGAGTCATGTGCTGTTTTTTCCCTCCCTTGGACAGCAACCTACAGACCCTGCTGGGAAGCTACCATGCAAGGTTTCCTTGCATTGCTCTGGCTGGCCATTAGTAGAAGTTAAACAAGAATCTCTGAGCCGAGGGAGGAGTTGTGTTATCTGGGCCCTTCTGGAGGTGGATGGTAGCCACATTACTGCGTGTTTGCTGACCCTACCTACGATGCTGATCTGTTCGAGTTTTTGAGCACGGCAGTACTCTTTGCGGGCATTCATTTGCCAGAGACAACTTGTTTGAAGGGAGGACATAAGTTACAAAATTCATTTCTGCAGGATTAAAATTCCTTCCAGATTCCATCGCTGCCACTTTGACTATTTTTTCACATCCATACTTCCTTGCTTTTACAAAGTTGAGCAAAGCACTGAGGTTGAAGCATGTTCACATCCCACCCTTACAAAACAAATTTGCGTAGCTGTAGCTGCACACCTAAATGTGTAACAGCTGATGGCTGCTTAAAGCAAACCATCTGAGGGACCTATGGGCTGTTTCAATTCCTATTTGCAGCCACAGATCCTGTCTCAGATGGGGGTTGGTACTTAAAAGAGTAGATGATGAGCAGCATACACTTTGTCCTATATTTACTGGTTTTAATGTACGATGATGATGCTTAATGTATAAAAGAACTATGTGCTTGTTACAAGGCTGGTTTCTCTTGAATTGGCTGCTTTGAGACTTTTAAGGGGGCTGCACTTCTGTGTCACTTTTTGTGCCTTAAGGTGGCTTTGTACAATGTTTTTTAACATCATTCAGAATTTGTATAAAGTTGTGAATGTTTAATAGTGTAAGTTATAAACAAGGCATCTTAGATTGGCCCTATAATAGGAAAAATTTTCTGTAAGGTTTTACCGCAGGGCTATCAGCCAGTCCCACACCCCCCACACCTACCTCTGTTCTGCTGTGGAGGCTATCGAGGTTAATGGCTTTGAGAGGCTTAGTTCCTAGCGAAGTAACACATTAAGGCTGGGAACAACTCACCAGGCCGTGAAGAAGAGCTGGTTTTCTGCAGCTCCGTGAACAGGGAGGCTGCGCGTGGTTACGCAGCTCTTCTAAACAAGCTCCGTACATCTGAAAGCGCTTGGGATGGGGGCGGTTGCGGGGAAGGAACCGACCCCTTGGGCCTTGTGGGCGCTGCATCTCAGTCCCCTCTCTGCAGGCTGGGCGCCCGCTGGCCGCCTTTGTGATGCTGGGAGCGTGGCTGCTGCTTGCTTGAACGCCAGAGGCCACAAGGGATGGGGGCACAGACGTTCTTAGCATTTGTTGGAGAAGCATTACTGCCGTGGTTCCGGTGCGAGAGACGTGAACTGGACCTGTGGGTGGGGTAGGCCCGGGCCCAGGCCTCCCCTGCAGCTGTTGGAATAAACAGCAAATGTGAAACAGCAAAAACTGAAAGCAAAGCCTTGTCTCCTCCTGTCTTGTTCCCACATTCACCTCTGTAAGCAAGAGGCTATAGATTTTACAGTCATTAAAGTACAAGTTCTACAAAATCTTTTTTTTTTTTTGTCCAAAGTTGAATTTGCTTTGTGATTTGTCTCGTTTCTTACACCTTTCATTTGAGTGTCCCTAAATACAAAAGGGTGAATTCCAGCTTGTGATCCACCAGGTGAATCTTGAGAGCTGTTAGGTAGGAAATGCGAATGAAAAACCAACTGCCTGCTTGCCACTGGTGGTGCTGGAGGGAGGGGGGGGCCTTGTGCCAAGTTATTCCATGGCTGAAGATCTCTCTTGAATGTTCCAGGTGCTGTTCCTGGGAGACAGTTCAACATTTGAATGAAATCGTGCCAGTTCATTGTACTTCTGATGAGGTGTTCACTGTTTCAGGAACTTTATAATAAAGGAAACTTTGTTTTCTGAACAGCTGATGGGTCTTCTCTTCTTCAAGCACTGGGAAACACTTTAAAAAAAATCATAATACTTTTTTTTTTTTTTTTTTTTAAAAAAAAAAAAAAACCTAATCTTTCTTCAAGACAGCATTACCAGTTAGAACCAGAATTCTGAAAGTTGGGCTGGTTTGTCTGGCACAGGATGACCGCGCGATGACTGGGATCAGTACCAGGGCTGAAGTACAGTGCTGCATCACAAACCACTGCAACTTAAATGCTTGCGTGGCTGGTGAGCGTACGCCTCCGCGCTTGGCTTTGGGTACCAGCTAGGAATACATGGCTGGAACTGGGCTGCTGTATGTTCGATGGAGCCTCCTGTTCAAGTGCCCTTGCTTTTCTCCAGGTGCTTCTGTGAAGTTAATTCCCTCAACACCCATGCAGCAGGGTTACTGGTATTTTAGTTTTCTGAATTGCATGTTTGTTCAATTTGTGCAGCCAATATAAAATGCACCGATAATCTTTTCCACTCTAAAGCAGTGTGCTTGCCCTTCGCGCATCTTCACGGTACAGCGCTTACAGGTGTTGAATTAAGCTGTCATTGGGATTAATAAATATAGTCACACTATCCATCTAAATCCTCCTGGTTTTTTCCTTGGTGTATATTAAATTTGGGGCTGTTATTTTAGATGTCGGACAGGTGGGAAATGACCTGCCTGAAAATGTGGGGTTGGAAAGATGGTATTTAAATCCCAATGAATGGTGTGCAATGGGGGACAGCTGTGTATCCGGGACAGGGTGGAGCAGATGCAAACCAGCATTGATCCAGGTTTAACAAATCATGCTGAGAGGTGTGCTCCAAAGCAGTGAAACTTTAATGTCCCCTCTGAGGTGCGCTGCG